TTTTTTTTTTTTTTTTTTTTTTTTTTTTTTTTATATTTGTCGTTTTTATCTGAGAACTGATTCATGACTAGGAACTCAGGCTCTTTCTATTTTGATGGCATCTCTGTTTAGGAGGCAGTCATGGCTAGTAGTAACTCAGGCTTCTGTCTTAATAGCATGCCAGTATTTCTTTGTCTTGATAGCATGCCAGTTTTTCTTTACCTTGAAAGAAGTTTGGTTGGTCCGAATAGTTAAGTTGTATTTTAGGCTACCTTTAGTCCTACATTGAGTGGATGGCAACTGAAGATGTCCGGCCATATATTTAATTTAGATCCTCATGAGGCTTCAAAATTTAGTTGTCAAGTTTCCACTTACACTTCTACTTATTTTGGATTACAGATACCAACATTCAGAGAGATGATAGATCTGTGGGAGAAAAAGCATAACTTGTTTGGAATACTTTACAGCTGGTTTCTTGCAAAGGCATGCTTCCTAATCATAACCTTTACACCACTAAGCTCGTGGAATCCTCAACAGTTAATGAATTTGCATCTGAAACAATTATTGGGAATTCTGATAGGTTGCTAGTCAGCTTGAAGTTTTCCCTGGCTCTGAGTTCCGGGTAGCATTTGAAGAAGCAAGGAAATATGGTGGCAAGATTATACTTGGTGATCGTCCTGTACAAGTAAGATTATTTTTGGATCTCCTGTCAAATTAACATGGAAACCACTGGATCAATAAGGATATTGAAATATGATTGAGTGATTCTTGGGCAACAGCTAAATTTTAAAAGATGGAGAAGTTGCTGGGTGGGTCCTACAGGATTTAGGTTTCAGAGATAATTCCTCTAGTTCCTATACTAGGTGATTGTCCTGTACAAGTAGTTTTTTGATTTCCAGTCAAATTAATGTGGCAACCCCTGGATCAGTAAGGATATTGAAATTTGATTGAGTGATTCTTGGGTAATAACTAAAATTTTAAAAGATAGGAAAGTGGCTCAATGGGTCCTGCAGGAGCCTTCACTCTGGATAATTTCTGTGGGGGAATTTTAAAAGTTAAAACATATGGATTGTTTCTAGCACTGTCTTTTTTTTTCTTTTTTTTTTAATTTTTTTTTCTTTTTTATCTAATGGTTCTGTGGGGGATTTTAGAAGTTAAAACATATGGGTTGTTTCTAGCACTATCTTTTTTTTTTTTTTTTTTTTTTATTTTTTCTAATCTAATGGTTATTGACTAAACTGAAGACAACCTTTCCAACTTTAGTAATTAACTAGCATTATCCAACCCACTTTGTAGGTTGTTGCAATGTATTTGTGTTTTAAAAAAATTAAAAAAAAATATTATTAGAAGCTGACTAAAATAAAATAAAATATATAGATAAGAAAGAAAAATGTGATCCTAAATCATTAGTTTTTTGATGTTTTAACAAAAGGTCTTTTAATGTTATGGGATAAAAATTTGTGAAATTAAGAGTGTTCCTACCAAACCTAATTTATTTGATTTATAACAAGAAAAGGTAAAATAAGGATATAAACTTTGCCATTTCTTCTATTTAAAGATGTGAACTTTGTTTATTTCTCTAAATAAGGCAGTAAACTTTCAACTTTTTCTATTTAAGGATGCTAACTTTTTATTTTTTTTATTTAAAGGATTAGTTAGATGGTTAAAAAAGCCTTTTACCACATCAGCATCATCATCCAATTAATCCTTAAACAGAAATAAAATAGAAAATTGGTATCTTTAAATAGAAAAAATTCCAAGTTAACATCCTTGAATAGAAAGAGTTGAAAGTTTACCACCTTATTTAGAAATTAACTAAGTTTGCATCCTTCAATAGAAAAAATGACAAAGTTCGTATCCTTATCTGCTCTTTTTCTCAATTTACAATGTAATGAACTTTACGATCAAACCAAATATATAATTTTTTCCACAAAAGTATATAAAGTAAAAATAAAATTACTACCACAATAACTTCAAATAAAAGACAGACAAAAAAAAAAAAAAAAGCCTTTTTCCATACAAATGAAAAAAGATATAAAGTAAAAACTAATTATAACAAATTTCATTATAGAAAAGACAAAGCAAACTTTCTATGCAAATAAAGACGTAAAATCTACAATAGTTAAAACAAATACCAATATCCAAAGGACAAAAGAACTTTTTTATATTAATACAAAATAGACCAAAAATTTACAAATATTATACCAATTGCCACTAGTCAGACTCATTTTTTAGAGAGAGAAAGGAATAGATGGGAGAGAAAGGAAGGGGAAAGTTTGACTCTATCCTCCTTATACTCCATAGATTGCAGAGAATTTGTTAAGAGAGTTGTTACAGTACATATTTGTGCTTCTTAAGTTCCTTAAGAAAAAAGAAAAAAAAAATCCTCAAATTAATCAGATAATAATGTCCACTGTACCACATACCTAGCTGCGAATGCTGTATTCTCTCTTGCCATACATAAGCAGCATTGCAGCTGTTTTCTCAATATCAAACTTTCTATAAGTATGATGCTATTTTATGTCTGTTCACTTTTTTCTTTATTGTAGCAATCTCATGCAGTTTCATTTGATGCTTTTCTATATTAACAATGCCATATGAAAATCTTGACAATAATTTGAATGTTGAATCAGATTACATTGAGAAGAACTTGGGCAAAGATGCCACTCTGGCATAAGACAAAATTACTATATTCTTTACTTTTTCAAGCTGTCTTCTTGCCAGGTGCTGAAGAACTTAACAAATTGGTAGGCTTTGTTATTCACTTTTATCAGCATCTGTCAGTTCATGTCTTTGTGTTATTTATGCTGCACAAAATCCATTTCACTTTTTCCATAATAGAATAAGTATATTTTTATGTAATGATATTGCTCAAATTTTATGTATTTTCAGCTGAAGGAAATGGATGATGTTGACATGCTAACTCTTGTGATTCAAGAAATGAGCAAGGAATTCCCCACTCTAATGGAAACTCTTGTCCATGAGCGAGATCAGTTAGTACTCTATTGCTTCCTTAATATCTATAAATTGTAGTATTTCAATTTTGATCTTTTGGCTCTGACATCAGATAGTAGGTTGCCTTTTTCCTTAATTTTAATTTAATGACATCTTGTCAATTAGTACTTTTCTGTTAAACCCCTTGCTTTAATGACATGAAATATTGAAGGAATAGAGAAATTAAAAAAAAAAAAAAAAAAGCTTTGATAATTTTTTTTTTATCCTAATATGGATGTCTTGACATTGATTCCAGCGTATAAATGAGCATTACAGGTCTTAGGGGGATGTTTTGATCTAACTTGATCTAACGACCGTAACACAAACTTTTCCATGGTTGGTACCCTAATCTGTTATTCATTGACCTTATACTTTAGCCCAAAGTTGATCTCTTTAATTGCAATAACTTTCTCAAATATTCTTCTCTGTAGTCCTCTTTGATCTACACTCTTCCACATACTTGATACATTGAAAGAATTGGGACTATAGTTTTTGTTTGTATGGCTAGTGTACTTCTTACCTATCTAAAATTCCATTTAGCACGGTTGTGGTTTTAAGTTTTTAGTTTTGGTTTTCAAAAATTTAGAAACCCTAGAATAAAATTGAATGGTTCTATAAATTAATTAAGTTTGGAGTTTTGAGTATTTGTTTTAAATTTTTATACCCAATAAGTTGGCAATTTTAATTTTTAATTTCGGTCTTTAATTGTTAATTTTGATTGTTTGAATTTTGAAAACCAAACCTCAAAACCCCAACCATACTAAATGGAGCCTAAATTGACATGAGTACGTAAACATAGATGCTCTATGGGACTTTTTTGTTGCTACTTTTTTATTTTTGTCTATGATTTCTATGTCTTTCTTGAAGTTTGGGGATCAAGAATGGATCTTGAGTGTTATCATTTGCAGTAGCATTTTTTTATTTTTGGTTTTTTGATTTATAACATATAATGCATCTTTGGATTATTTACTTTCAATTTGCTAACCACCATAAAAGAAATTTAACAGCTCTTATCTCTATTTAAATCTGAAACTGAAAATCTAAAAGCTTGTCTTCCTGGGATCATTTCTTTGTGTTTATAATCAATTTATTTTTTGAGAGAAGAGCGTTGTGGAGATCTTTAAGGTTTTGGTTCATTGGGTTATGTTATGTTTTGTCAGTCTGGATGTGTTTACAGTAGAATGCATTTTCCTGACATTAGAATGCTTGCTGTTGCCAGTGTTGCAGAACTCAGTGCCGGGGGTCCCCACCTGGGCATTTTTGGATTTTTATTTTTATTTTTAAAAAAAATATTCAGAAAAAATCGGAAAAATTTGGAAAAAAAATCAGAAAACTTTGCTGACATTAGAATGCTTGCTGTTGCCAGTGTTGCAGAACTCAGTGCCGGGGGTCCCCACCTGGGCATTTTTGGATTTTTATTTTTATTTTAAAAAAAATATTCAGAAAAAATCTGAAAAAATTGGAAAAAAAATCAGAAAACTTTGGGAAAATTTTTTTTAAAAAAAAAAAGGGAAGAAGAAAATTTAGGGAATTAGAGAAAAAGAATGCTACAGGTTAGAAATTAGAGAGTAGAGCAATAATGAAGAATTTATTAAACTAGGAAAGAATTTAAACTTCCTAAGCAATGAGTAGAGCGAGAGTAAGTGAGAAGAACCAAAGAACATACAAAGAATCAAGTAATCTGCCAATGGTAAATGGGTGATGTAACTGGAAATCGAGATTGATGATCTGAAGAGAGTGCAGAGATGAGCACCTTGATTCTGAATCTGAAGAGCAAAGAGAATTTACAGGAGGGATGAAATGAGAAGGAACTAGAGAGGTTAGTAGAATTTGAAGAGAATAGGAGATTAACCCTAATTGTTTTTTACTTATAAAGTCCCCCTTTTTTTCTGTGATACATGCTGAAACAACACTGTTTCTGCATAGTTTTTTTTTTTTTTTTTAAAGAAAAAATAAGAAACAGCATCATCTTGCCTGGCTGGTCAGCATCTCCTGGGCACCAGACTAGACAAGTAACATAGGTCAGTGCGCACAAAATGGCCAACAAGGAGGCGAGGCGGTGGGATGCCCCTCTGCCTACCACTTAGGTGGGATTGCTAAACTGACTAATCCCGAATTTTGCAACACGGGCAACTGCTATCAAGGCTTGTGCACATTTATGCATGTACTGACAATTACAAGCAGATGTTGCACAAAGGAGATGTTGCAGTAATTTTCATCTGCTGTTTGTATATCTTGTTACTATCAATGAAACAAACTTCAAACTTTCTTTTTGGTGATATCAGGGATAGGGGGGTTGCTTGCACACATTGTTTGGATGAATTATTTCCAAGTTGCACCAGTATAATTCTTGTGGCATGAGTGTGCATGTTGAATCCAGTTCTTTTGTCCTAACCATGGATTTGACTGTTTGTTGTACTGTTATTTCTCTTCATTTTCTATGCCTTTGTGCAGGTACATGTCATCCACATTACTAAGAGTTGCTAGGGAGCATAGTTTGGTCGTTGCAGTCGTTGGAAAAGGGCACCTGCAAGGAATTAAGAAGCACTGGAAGCAGCCTGTCTCTGTCAATGATCTTCTGGAAATTCCTTCGCAGAAACCAGTGCTATTGACTGGGAAGATTCTCACTTCTATAGGCGTAGCAGTTGCTGGGGTAGCTATAATATCTGGCCTCCATCTCTCAAGCAAAAAGTAATTATCTATGATTGACTACCGGAGTGAGCTATTACATGGGTTTTTCAAAGCAGGGATGTGCTTTTCCTGCCTGAAAGTCAGATACAGTAAGAAAGCCATAAAACCATATGCATCGAGGAAGCCCTTCGTACGCATATAGAGTTGATTGTTTCCCCTTCAAAAAGTCGGGCTCCTTATTCGTTTTCTTTGGCACTAATATAATCGAGGATAATATGGGGCAAATTATCCTCAATTTTTTTTTTTTCAAAGAATATGTTTAAAAATTTACATTTTAATTAACATTTTAAAAAATTAACTGTTATATTAAAAATTTTATTCGTGTAAATTATTTATGTTATAATTTTTTGATCAAAGAAATTTTATTTATTAATATATATTCAATAATTCTTTTTTGGTTTGGATCATCTGATATTCGAAAGTTCATTGGGTCATTGATTAATTCATATTCCAGTCAGATAAGACTTAATGGGCGGCAAAATTTTCGTTCATGAGTTTTAACGGAATTATATTTTCAGAATTTGAAATCAAGATCGGAATTATATTTTCAGAACTTGAAATCAAGATCGTTAAATTGGAAGAGTTTCCTATTAACTTATCCATTTGTTCGTGGGTTAATATATATTTAATGATGTTAAATATCTTGTAATCAATAAAATAATTAAATTTATTAGAACAAATTAAAATTTGACATGAATAATTTATATAAATAAAATTTTTAATCTAATTATTGGTTTTTGTAATATTAATTAATTAAATAAGCTTTTAGATATGTCATTAAAAAAAAATTAAAAGGATGGTCTGTAAAATACCTTTCTTTAATATTTTTTCATATAAAATAAAACTTAATTGTTGCTTGCCCTATGGTGGCAATCGGCTACCCTCTGAGAGCCGAACAGCCGTTCAACACTTTCCCATCAGGAGGGCACGCTATGTTTATTCGGTATATCATAGTATTAATTATTTGATTTCACAAAAATATAAATTTTTAACTTTAATTTTAATTAAAAATTTTAAATTAATAGATATCAACTCAATTAAACTCTCGTTTATAGAACACACTATGTTTTATTGGGAGCAAAGTTCTACTTGATTAGAACCAAGGAAGACATTGAATAGAAAACACGACACTGTTAGGTGTTTTATGACTAATCCACTTGTTTCCCTCTGCTATATAACTAGACTTTTAAATAATTAATAAAAATATATCAAAATTATATTTTTTCATTAAATCATTACAAAATAATCTCATTTTTAATTTAAAAATATGTTATTTTAGTATGTGTTTGAGAAGAAAAAATATTTTTTGTTTCTCTCTTTTTTTTTTTTTTGGTCTTTTCTTAGAAAACAGTTTTCATTTTGGATCGTTAAAAAATGAATATTTTTGAAAATGTGATTGGCAAGTGATAATAAGATAATATTGAATGTATAATATTCAATCAAAATTTTTTTTATAAATTTAAAAAATCGCTTAAATTTTAATTCAATGCAATTAGCTACCTTTACCCAAAAAATGGAAATAAAGACATTTTAATGAACGTTTGTTTGTTTTTTTTTTTTTTTTTTTTTCAATTCTTTTGCATTTGTGAGCAATCACACTTTGCTATATTAGACAGTAAGCTAATTATAGTTAGGGAAACGTAGGTCATCCTCCCAAATTGAATATGGAGAATCTTTTATTTTATATTTTCATTCACGAATGTCCATTTTCGGATGAATACTTCACATTCGGCTCATGACTCTTCGAATTGCTTCCTGTATGGTATCATTTCTCGTATTTGGAGAGTACCATTTCACCATTTCCTTTATACTTTACATTCTGCATTAAGTTACCCATTGTGGAGGGTTTTAACTTTTAACTAGTATTAATTGTTGCTTGATGAGATATTGAGTGATGCCCGAATTTGGTCATGTTTGGC